TGATTATGGAATATGTTAGTGTAGGTGAATTAAGTTCATTCAACAAGGTATAAGTTACCCGAGAAAGTGGGAGTAGTGAGAGAGGTTTATTGGTTTTGATGAGAAAAGCAACAACTTGTTTGAGCTCGAATGCAGAGTGAAGTGGAGATGCCAAGCAAATAGAATGAAACATTGCCTTAGCTTCAATGTTAGCTGCTAATAAAGCATAATCCTATATAGTATAGTACTTTTTTGTTGTTGTTCGGTACTTGCATTAGGATTCAACTAAATTCCATGTAGTTAGTCCATTTTGTTATTAATTATGGCCTTTACTATCTTGCTCCCTCACTGTATTTGTAGTTTTTAGTTCTGTTGTTAATTAGATGCACTTATAAGTGCTAGTGATGTCGTAAATAAGTCTGTTCTAGAAGAACCTGTCTCTCTCATTACCATTGGCTGGTTGGTGGCTGGGGGTGTAGGTGATGCTGAATGTTTTACGCAACAACACAAGATAGCAGAAATATGCTGCAAAAGTAATCATATTTTGCCTAAGGGTCTGTTTGGAAAGCCACCTGATAATTGAAATTGGTGTAATTACTAGAGTAGTAATTATTAGGGTAGTAATTACCAGTCTAGTAATTACACTGTCTAGTAATTACACTGACTTGTTTGGTTGCCACGGTGTAATTACACTATAATTATACATGTCATGTTTGGATGTCACATTGTAATTACACATGTTCTGTTTCGATGCACAATTGCAATCATAAAATTATATTAAATTTTAAAATAAAAATTAATTATTTAAAATTTATACTAGACAAATAAAAAATTTATAAATGACATTAAATTAAATATTTAAGATATATATTATTATTTGAAAATATATTAATTAATAAACATATTTTCTTTAACTAATATTATGAAAAAATAATTGATTTATGTTTTTTCAAATTAATATATTTCAAATGAATTGATTGTAAAAACTAAAAGTATGAAATTTCTACGAACATCGCAAAATGCATGTTTGATAAAAAGATTAATATATAAATAAATGTCATAAATTATTAAATGTTTGACAAAAAATATAATCTATCAATTTTAATTAAAAAACGACGTGCAATGTGAATTCAATATTACTAAAACAAATGAAACTGAAAATATAACATAAGTTATAAATTCAAAACAAAAAATTTAACATAATACTCTTATAACAAATTTCAACGTAGCATGCATAAATATGATTTATTTTTATTTTTTTCTTAATAAAGAAAACGTAAGTCTATAACCTTACTTAACAATAAATTATATTTTAATTTTAAAACTATAGTACTAATAAAATTATGCTAATGAGAAAATAAGCATGGCATAAAGAAATAGCTAATACGAAAAAATTGCATAGAATCACGTAAAGTAAGGTTGAGAACAAGAAGAAAATGAAATATAATAATATAAAATAAAAAATAAACTTTTACGAATTTTTAGAATAATAAAAATAAAAAAAAGAACTTAAAATAATAGAAGTAAAAAAATTAAAACAAAAAAATAAAAATAGAAATTAAAAAAAAAAAGTAATCAACTGGTAATTACACCAGAAATTCACAACTCCTACCTGTGAATTGTAGAGTGTAATTACCCCTGCCAATTACATCAATTACCTGCTGACCAAGTAATTATTTGTCCAACCAAACATGACAGACAGTGTAATTACACCAAATTCAATTACCAGGATGTCCTTCCAAACAGGCGCTAAATGTTTTGAGTAGTAGTAACTTATAGTGAGGGATGTGCACGTCACGAGTTTGAACTCTGCACTTGACCCAAAGTCGGGAAAGTATTTACGTGGGATAAGTGGGATCATAACAGAGAGTTTGAACTTTGTCTTTGACCCAAAGTCGGGGAAAGTATTTAAGTGGAATCATAACGGAGGGACATGTCCACAGAGGCGTATCCAGGATTTCGGTATGATGGGTGCATTATTATAAAAAGGTTGATCTAAAATATAAATTTGATCGGTTGGACATTTAGGTTCTTATTACTGAAAACCGTTAAAATTAATATTATAGGTCCAAAACTAATTAAAATGTCAAAAGTGTTACCAATAACCATTTAGAGAGGTGTTATCTAATTTTACAAAGAAAAATAAAACAAGATGAATATAAAATTCAAATTTCTAACCTCACGTAGAGAGGTGCACCCAGTCATCATCGCATTATATGATACTCCGAATATGGGTTCACACATCTATATTTCAATATTTTTCAAAAATATAACACTACTATATATGATCTCGGGAGGGGAGCATGGGTTCACGTGAACCCGGTGACCCCTCCTTGGATACGCCTCTGCATGTCCATACTCTTGAGTTTTCCTGATGAACAACTGAGCATGGGCGGAGCTACCCTTGCCCGAGGGGTGTCAAGCGACACCCCTTCGTCGAAAAATTATGTTGTCTAGGTAGGCTATATTTTGATTTTATTACTATATATATTATAGTTGGCACTCTTTAAAACGAGATGAAGAGTTAGCTCAGTGGTTGAGGGGCCGCAAAATATCTCCTTAATCTTTGGTCTTGAACGTCAGGGGTTCGAACCTGGTTGGGATTTCTTATTTTTATAACATCTTCTTTTTTTAATTAAAATTAAGACTTCAAGAAGCGTCTTTTGTTTTAAGATTTTAGAAAACTGAAGCTTTTTTTTTCCGCCAATTTTTGAGCGATTGACTTAAATAAAGTTGACTTTACTATTTTATTTTTTAAAAGAAAAAATGTACTTTATAGATTAAACAAATCCCTAATTTCAAAAATTAAAGGGTTTGAGGAGGAAGAGCCCAAAAAAATCATTTTTGTTCGCTGCCTTCGATGTGACTCTTTGTCGGGCGTCGCCAAACGATTGTGATGATGTAATTATTTTTTGCTTTCATTAGTAAAAATTTATTTTGTTGATTTTTATGTGTACTTACTACTTTGTATTTTAACACCCCTCAATGTAAATTCTGGCTCCGCCACTGCAACTGAGGTTTGGATAGCTAACTAACAGGGGATCCTTTGACTATTAAATAAAAAAAGTCTTTTCTCGACTAACATAATCTCTTTTTGTTTTTAGCCATATAGCTCAGGCTCTTTGAAAATGTTCACCAAAGAAAGATTGAGAGATATATTAGATAAAACTTTTTTTATATTGTGATTTAGTTAATTATATATATATATATATATAAATAAAATATATTATACTCGCGCACACACATTCATACCCTGCCTCACAAGAGATAGTTTCTTCCTACAGGTAGGTCCATCTCCAGTGGCAATCAAAAAATATCTACGACAAAATAAGGTGAGTTGAACTTTAGATGAAATACTTTCATTTGCCTTGGAAGGAGAGTACAATTCCAACAGAAAATGAGTCATGTGAAAGAACTTGGTGGTTGGTATTAGTTCTCTAATGCATCATAGTTTATTTTAACTTTATTTGCAATTTCATATTGTTTCTGTGACCTTAATTACTTCAAAGCTTTGAATTTTTTTAAAAAATATCAGTAAAGCTCTGAACTTTCTTATGTTGAAGCTTCAATGCAAGCACCTCAAGATGTACGTCATTAAAAAATACTTTTATAATCATAGCTACTTCTTGGTGTTCTTTTTATTCATATTGTTAGTGACACTGTCGTCGTTACATTTGCTTTCTGATGATTGAAACATTATATTGCTACAAACTATTTATATTTTGTTATATTCTTTACCCAATTTAAAATAAAAAGATTAACACAAAATATTAAATTAAATTTGGGTATAGTAGAAATGCTTTCTTCTCCTTTGATATAAGTTTTTAATTTTAGTTGTCCACTGTCCATTTTTTGACAGAAATCAGCTCTAAGATTGTAGGTATGGTGAAAACAAGTAATATATGTATATTTAGAAAGATAGATAAATGACTAGCCAGCATTTAATGACTTAATAGGGAGATACAATTTTGGATTATAAATTTGGGAGGTGCCTATTCTGCAGTTGTCATACTTTGTACGTTGCTATTGTCATTGGCATGTTTTTAAATTCCATATCTGTTCCTTGTGTTGTTAGATAATTCTGCAATAGTGAGTTCTGGATTAGTGCTTGGGATGTAAATTTGTTTTGTTTCAATTTTGGCTACCAAATATTAATTATTAGCCATCTCTCTTTCCTTCTAATGGGTTTTGTTTAAGAATCAAATATTGAGGAAACTGAGCAAGCAAGCATTGAAAGGAAAGGATGAGGTGATTGTAGACGAAGAGAACATATAATAAAAGAAAAGTTAGAGAGGATCTAAGTCATTGTCAACTGAAATTGGCACCTCTTTACAGGTGAGTCCCTCAATTAGCAAGTTTGTATTATTTTATGGGTATCTGAGTTAAATTTGAAGGTTGACCATGTGAGCGTTTGATATGCTTTATTCTTTTTTTTATTAAATAATAAGTAGCTCATTTACTTTCTTTTCTCTTTTCTTTGTAATTGTATTATCTATGTTTTAATTAATTGTTACACTAGTTATTTTAGCCGATAGAATTTCACTACAACAAATTCCGCCGCAATAGCTAAATATTTCACTTTGAAAGTAAATTTATTTTCCATCTTTTTCCGCAGGTACTCTTTCTCAAGCTCTGTCTAACACAAAATGCAACACTACGTAAATAGTGCAGGATGTAAATAATACAACTACAAACGACATATTGTGCATTTAATCCGAAAACAATTCCTAACCATGTATATTTATGTTTCTGTATGTGTACATTTCGATCGCAAAAACCTTTTAATGTTTGGCGCACGGCTATCCCTGCCTAGCATATAATATAAATATGTACACTAAAATATACATAAATATGAAGCCCCCTGCGCGCACAAGGCATTATCCATCTAGTATTAGAAACAAAATTCAAGAGAATGAAAAAGACAAAAGGAAATTATTCATTAATTAAATTCTCAAGGAAATTAAATTTTCTTGTTTACAACTTAGACATTACACATGCACAAAATTCAGATTAAAAGCTTAATTTCCCAACAAACCAAAATACTTAGGAAAACAAACATTATTGACAAAAGGACTTTTGATCTGCACTGCACTTGTGTTTAATCAGAAATGTCAATGGCCTTCACCTCAGATTTTTTCTTCTCTTCTTCTTTAGGAACAGTCACAGTGAGCACCCCATTCTCCATCGCTGCCTTTATTTCTCCCGTCTTTGCATTCTCCGGCAGTCTGAATCTCCTTATAAACTTACCGCTGCTCCTCTCCATACGGTGCCACTGATCATTCTTCTCCTCTTGCTCTCTGCTTCTCTCACCGCTAATCTGTAAAATCCTTCCTTCTTCCACTTCAACTTTCACTTCCTCTTTCTTTATCCCCGGAACGTCCACTTTGAAGACGTGAGCTTCTGGGGTCTCTTTCCAATCGATTTTTGCATTTGCAAAAGCAGAGATTTCACGAGTAGATGATGGGGCATTGGTTGAAATTGGGAAGCCCTCGAATGGATCCCATAAGTCAAGGGAAAATGGGTCGAAGATGTTGCTCTTACGACCACTGAAGAAGCTTGGAATCAGAGACATTTTTGGAAGCTTTCTTGTTTGAAGAAAACAGAGGATTTTTTAAATTGTTGATTGTAGTGCTTGATTTGTTTGATGACTTGCTGATGATAAACTAGAGAAAGTATCCGTGATATTTGTAGTCGATGAATCTGAGAAACTCAAGCAATTCGAGTGTAGTCTAGTATCCTCTTCGCTTAATTTTAGATACGAACAGGAAGAGGCTTCTACAATATTCCAGAGACTTTTTTTTAGAAGGAATAATTGCACCTTCTTTTTTATTTTTATTTTTTTATGTAAGGAGTAATTGAACTTTTTGTTTTTACATATAGGGTGTGTTTGGTATGAACGAAAATATTTTTCGAAAAATGTTTTTCAATTCTTTCATGTTTGGTTGGATTAAATGTTTTTCAAATCAATTCATTTTCTTTAAATTTAAGAAAAATGACTTTACTTCAAAACTTAATGAAAACAATTTTCAAAACTCTCTTTCAATTTCAAATTACAATTATTTTTTTGTTGAAAAAAATAATTTATTTTGTCTCTATCCTCAAACCAGCCCCCCCCCCCCCCAAAATAATAATTTAAAGCTTGTTTTTAAATTCAATTTTTTTATCCCACCCTCCCCACGTCCTACCACCCCCAGTCCCCCCCACCCACCCACCTCCAAAAAAAAATTAAGTTTGTTTTTAAAAAATATTTTCAACTTCAAAATTTCATTTTTTTCACCCCTACCCTTGAACCCCCCACCCAGCCCCCCTCACCTCCAAAAAAAATTTTAATTTTGTTTTTAAAAAATATTTTCAACTTCAAAATTTAATATTTTCACTCTTACCTTCGACCCCCCCTCCCCACCCAGCCACCCCCTACCAGCCCCTCACCCCCCAAAAAAATTTAAGTTTGTTTTTAAAAAATATTTTCAACTTTAAAATTTCATTTTTTCACCCTACCAGGCCCCCACCCCCCCAAAAAAAATTTAAGTTTGTTTTTTTTAAAAAAATTCAACTTCAAAGTTTCAATTTTTCACTCCCACCCTCGACTCCCCTCACCTACCCCCTATCAGCCCCCACCCCCAAAAAAATTTAAGTTTGTTTTTAAAAAATATTTTCAATTTCAAAAATTATTTTCTACTCTAGTAAAAATAAAAGATATTTCTCAAAAATATTTTTCATTCATAAATCAAACACTAAAAATCTTTTCTGGAAAATATTTTCTAGTCACCAACCAAACATGAGAAAATAAGTCAAAAAACAACTTGTTTTCCAAGAAAACATTTTCTAGGAAAATATTTTCCATGAAAAACATTTTCCTTCATACCAAACACATCCATAGTTAAAAGGGGGAAAACCTTAAATATGTTATAGAATTTCAAATTTAAAGTCGGGTCATTTATACCATTTTTTTTTTAAAAAAAAAAAACGGTTCATTCAAGTCAATATTTGTTAATTGAAAAATATTTTAGTTTTGCAAAATCATTTTTATGTGTGGTCAATTATGATATAGCCCACATCATTAATTCAATCATTTAAAAAAAAAAAAAAAATCTCAAATATGTTAGCAAACTTTGAGAAAAGACTCATATATGTCATCGTGTAAAATTTTGTTCATCTATGTCATTTCAGTTAACTAATAATGACATGAATAAACCTTTTCTCAAACAAAAATGATATAAATAAGCTAAAATTTTAACGAATGACATAAATAAATTTTAGTAGTAAAATAGTAGATTTTCATTTCATTTGTGAGGACATTTGATTTGCATCCGTAAAAGTGAAGCAACACAACAACACTTGATTTTATGATCCAAGTCTTTATTGACCTACGTCCACAAAATGGTTACTGATCAATCATCAGTATTTTAATTCAAAATTAATTAGAGTCAACTATATGCATTATCTATATTCATTATTTCCTACATCTTTCTCGACTTTGATGTGTATGTATATGCTAGAAAGGGGAAGCCCATGCTTTGCACGGGCCCAATTATCTTTTTTTTTTTGATAAAGGTAACTTTATATTCACGTTAAAACTCATCAGCAGAGCATGATGAGGTGGGATTTACAGCCCCACAGGGGATAGTTTCAAAAGCCGAAACTGGGCAAAAACTTTACAATTGAGCTTTAAAATCTGCTAAGCTATCTACCTCCCCCACCAAATCATGTTTACACCAAAAATACAACAAGCTCAAGCTATTCATCTTGATTTTTTGAATGTTGTTAAGTTTCCCATCATGTGATCTTTCATTCCTTTCCTTCCACAATGTCCACCAAATGCAGGCTGGGATGCACTTCCACCAGTCTTCTTTGGATCTTCTTCTTCTGCCCACTCCTTCCCACTGTCTCAGCAAGTCTAAAGTAGTCTTGGGCATTACCCAGTTAACTCCAAGTATACATAAGAACATGTCCCACAGATTTACAGCTGTTCTGTAATGTAAGAAAAGATGACTGTTAACTTCTGCCTCTTCCCCACACATGTAACACCTTGAGCAAATCTGTATACCTCTTCTTTGTATCACTTCATGGGTTAGACATGCTTTCCTGATTGCCAACCAAGTGAAACCTGAAACCTTGTGGGGGATCTTGATTTTCCAAATTAGTTTCCAAGGCCATTCCATTTCCATAGTCTGATTAGAATTTAAACTCCAATAACAAGACTTCACAGTGAAAATTCCTTTCTTTTGCATTTTCCAATTTGGAGTGTCAGGACCTTCAGTGACACCTGGAAATGCATTAAGTGTTTGTAGTAATTCTGCTACTCTGTCAATCTCCCAGTCATTTAAAGCCCTCCTAAAGATCAAATCCCAACCTTGAGGGCTCCACACCTGTGCCACAGTGTCCATCTGTTGTAGACTCAATATATAAAGATTTGGGAACATGATCTTCAGATTCTCTTCTCCTAACCAGAGTTCATTCCAAAAACTTGTTTTCACCCCATTCCCAACCTTAAAGGATAGATTGGGGATAAAAGATGCCCACAGTCTTCTGATTGTCTTCCAAACAGAGCATCCAAAAGTACCATTTGCTTCTTCAATGATCCAATTGTTTTGGAGACCATATTTATGTGATATGAATCTCCTCCACAAAGCCAGATCTTCACTACAGAACCTCCATAGCCATTTCTTCAACAAGCTGACATTCTGCGTACTCAACTTTTTTATACCCAAACCACCCTGAATTTTGTTTAGTGTCACTACGTCCCATTTAACAAGATTATACCTAGGCTTCTCTTTATTTCCCTGCCACAAGGAGATTCTTCTTGCTTTGTTGATTTTCTTCTCTATACTTCTTGGTATTGGGAATAAGCTCATCATATAAGTAGGGAGTGCATCCATCACCGATTTGATAAGAGTTATTCTGCCTCCCAAGGATAGATACTGACTTTTCCATCTTGACAACTTCCTCTCACATCTTTCTAGTACTTCATTCCAGACTTCCACCTCTTTGTTCTTTGCACCAAGGGGCATTCCAAGGTATTTTGTTGGGAGGGAGGCTACCTGACAGCCTAAATTCTAAGCAAGCATCTGCATATTTGTCACCTGGTTAACTGGGTATAAACAACTTTTATGCCAATTGACATGCAATCCTGATATTCCTTCAAAGATGGTTAAGATGGCCCTCAAGTGTCTTATTTGATTAACTTCAGCTCCACAGAAAACCAAAGAGTCATCTGCATATAACAGGTGTGAGATCTCCAAAACCTCTCCCCTATTTGCATTTGCACAAAAACCTTGCAGCCACCCATTCTCACTTGCTTTCCTGATCATGGAGTTGAGGCCCTCCATAGCTAAGATAAATAGGAATGGTGACATAGGATCACCTTGTCTCAAACCTCTTTGTGACTGAAAAACCCTTCGGGATTGCCATTAATGATAAGGGAGAACTTCACAGTAGATATACAAATCTCAATCCACTTGATCCATTTATTTCCGAAGCTCATATCTCTCAAAATCTTCAGGAGGAAGGACCAATTTACATGGTCATAAGCCTTCTCAATGTCCAGCTTGCATAAGACTCCAGGTAGATTTTGCTTCACCGTGCAGTCCACTAATTCATTTGCTAGTATTGATGCATCCATTATCTGCCTACCCTTCAGAAAAGCCATTTGGTGCTCATCCACCAATACCCCAATGACCTTCTTCATTCTTTCTGTGAGAAGCTTGGCTATGATTTTGTATACTCCGCCAATCAGACTTATTGGTCTGAAGTCCTTCAACTCTTCTGCTCCATGCTTTTTAGGGATTAAGGCTACAAAAGTGGCATTGAATGATTTCTCAAAAGTTTCCTTCTGGTGAAAGTCATGAATTGTCTGCATCAAGTCCTCCTTCAAAGTATCCCAGCAGACTTTGAAGAAACTCATGTTGAATCCATCAGGCCCAGGTGCCTTGTCACCATCACAGTGTTTGATTATATTTAGCATTTCATCTTCACTGAAAGGTCTTTGCAACCACTCTTGTTCCTCTTGGGATATTCTAGGACAATTCACATACTCAAAAGAAGGCCTCCATAGCTCTGTTTCAGTATAGAGTTTTTTATAGAACTCAATCATATTCAACTTAATGTTTTCTGGCTCTTTGACCTCCTCTCCGCTGATTATTAGTCTGTCTATATTATTATATCTCTTGTGAGCTGTAGCCATCCTTTGGAAAAACCTAGTATTGTTGTCTCCCTGTTTCAACCATAGAATCTTAGATTTTTGTCTCCACCTAGACTCCTCAATTTTTGCCAGTTCTTTCAATTCTACCAAGATTGTAGCCCTCACCATCAGCTCATCCTCTGTCAGAAGTCTTGAATCTTGTGCCAGATCAATGTGACCTAATTCAGATAACAACTTGTTTTTCTTAGTGCCTAGTTCCCTACCTATTTGCTTACTCCATTCTTTGAGTTTCTCTTTCAGCAACTTCAGTTTCATACTAAGCTTGTAGTCAGGGCAGCCTTCAACTACAAACTCACTCCACCAACTATCAACTAGCCCCTTGAAACCATCCACTTTGAGCCACCAATTCTCGAACTTGAAGTAGGACTTATTCTGCCACCAATCCCCACATTGTAGCATAATAGGGCTATGATCAGATGTCACTCTAGGCATTATCGTCTGCCTTATATTTTTGAAGGTTTCTTCCCATTCTCT